GAAGAAGAAGAAGAAGAAGAAGAAGAAGAAGAAGAAGAAGAAGAAGAAGAAGAAGAAGAAGAAGAAGAAGAAGAAGAAGAAGAAGAAGAAGAAGAAGAAGAAGAAGAAGAAGAAGACGAAGACGAAAAAGAGGAAGAAGTTGAACTACGCGTAACGACGTTTAACAAAGTGAACATTATTTCTTTAAGCAGCGGTTGCTTTCAACGTTTCTCACCAATGTTTTTTCAATTTTTGTCGTGAGATTGCCGCTCCTTAGAATTTTTTTTAACATATTTTGTAAAGTACACGGTAACAAAAATTTTTTATATTTTATTATTTTTATTATTATAACATTTATTAATGAATAAATATATTATATTAGATTTCATAATGTTTATTATTTGAATACTTAAACATTATTATTCTCTCACTTTTATTTTTATCAAACCATTTCTAAATCCATTCATTTTATATAATTGTTATATTAGATTATTTAATATTGTCATATTGTGATATAATTACAAATAAGTGTTTTAGGATCGGTTATATTACAATTGATCCGGTTGCAGTTATTATTTGCGAAGGAAACACCTAATTAAAACTGTTTGTTTTAATTTTTTAATTTTAATTCACAATTACATCACTTTAATTAACAATTTATCGCGAAATGTACTCTTCATTATATTACCGAAATTAATTATGCTTATTAATTATGATAATTATTGAGGCGTAAAAATTTTGTAAATAGCAAATCAAGCGACTGCTGCATTCCATTGCTGTGCTCATGTTTCATAATCTTTTTTTCATTTCCTTTATTAAGAGAATCCTTAGCTGCCGTAATAATACTTATATTTATTAATACTTGTACATATTATTCTTTACTTTTTCCACTAACAATTTGAATTTTTTATTTTGTCGTATTCCAATAATACTGCAATGCAATACATGAAGTACACGAGGACAAATTTGTCATACGCACGAACACATGTTACATCCATTTCATATATAAATAAGGATACTTTAATCAGTAAAATTCATAGACTTCTGACCATAGTTGAAATACATTTTATTTTTGAAAGTCAAATATCAATTAACGATGTCGAATTTTTATACTTTCATATGTAGATATACATGGGAATAGAGAATATTGAAAGAAGAGTAATGAAATATTGGAGAATTAGTCGAGCGTACGACGAAGGTAAAATTGCGCAAAATATAAAATCGTGATTACATATTTTTTTTTTAAATGGTATACAAACATACGAGAGCGACAGAAAATAGTAATGCCAATTAAGTGAAAAATGCTTAATGTGGATGTATTGTACAGTTCATCTTTCTTCGATCGATATAGATCATTAAATTTCTATGACTGCCGGTAAGTACAATGTAAATTGAAATAATATAAATTGTTTCCACGCTTAACAAACAAGAAAAAATCGAGATTTTCCGAAGACAAAATACCTCCACTGACAATGGCACCAATAATAGAGTAAGGAAAACAATTTACGTTTAACTAAATTTTATTTAATGGATTAAAGGCTTCTCGTCAGTCTTTTTTGACAACCGATCCAATTATCATTTGGTCAAAATATCGTAAATACAATAACGGCGAGGGTGTTCGAACAACAAGTGTTGTATTTGCGCAGGTAAATCAAGTTTATTCAAACAATAACGAAGCTTTTTTTCCCAACAATACTAATCACATCCAGAAAAATTTTATGGTTGTTTAAACGACGTAAGGAAATAATAAATAATAAATAACCTGTATATTATTTTCAATTCAAAAATTTGTTTTCTACGCATTACAAATACTATTAAATAGTTCTTTAATTAGCATCTATGTAGCGTGAAAAATATGTGAACAATTTTTGTATAATGAAAAAACTATATAAAACATGATGTTCATGTAAATATGTATACGTGTGTATACTTGAGGGTTCATATGACCATTTATGTAGTAAAAAGTATTTATTTGAATGAAAATTGAACACTGATTTGGTAACGCGGAATTATATAAATCGCGATGGTTTGATAATCAAAAGCTTTCGTTCTTAATCATTTGTAATATTTTCCGTTGGATTTATGAAATATCATTATCAAGCAATACTTATTAGATAATAATAAACAAATTATAAAATGTTACAAATAATTTTGTAAATTAAATAAAAAAGACATCTGTGAGCGAACAATAATATGTGGAAAATTTTTGCCTAATGTTTATTAGGATCAAATAAATTAATTTCTTTATCGATCTAACTTTTACATTAAAAGCGTTTTATACATTGTTTTTTGTTTTGTTGCGTTGAAAATTTATGCTTTATTGTGTTTCTAAGTTTGTAATTTTTCCTAAGTATGAGTTACTAATATTAACTCTTATTATTATGTTTCGATTGGGTTCGAAGAGATGATTTTGAGAATTTTATTTGGTAGAACTTTTTCTCTCCTTGATATTATTGATGATAGATAATTCTTACAAAATATGTTCTTTTCATAGAATTGTACTTCACGCGAATTCGAAAGTAATTGCTCAATTACAATGTATTAATTATTTTTATTTTAATACATTATTTATAATTATATATTAACATTATATATAATCTTTATTTATAGCGATTATTATAAAAACTTATTATAATCAAATGATATGGTCATAATTGTGATGGAACTTAATAATTTTACGTGAAGAGATATTTTTTTATATACACTTATTATTTATCAATTGCAATTATTATATTTATTTGATTAAAATCCTGAAACATATTTAGAAACATAGTTATGTACATTTACAAATCAGAGAAAACATTTTTTAAATATGCATATCGTAGTATATGAGTATTTGCTCCTGTTAATACATTACTTTAACAAGAGAAAATCTGCTTCAATGGTGCAACAACAATTTGTTTCACATACTTTATTATTTTAATTTGCAAATAGTTTTATCGCATAAATCAGTAATAAATGTTTTATGTTACAGTGTTTTCGTCCGATTTGATCAGCTAAATGGATTTGCTATATTACGGGAATGAAAGACTATTGACTGTAAATGATTGAAGATAAAAGTAACAAATGAGGAAAATTAACGTAACATCCAATAAATAACATTTGAAAGTTATTAGAAAAATATTCGAATTAAAATATGCAAGTAATAATGAAGTAAATAATTTTAAATCGTATAAATATATTTTTTTATTCTATGAGCTTTCATTCCAATGAAAAACACATATTTTAAACGGCAAGAAAAACTATAAACATCTAACATAAATTCTTGATATAATAACATTGACATTTGCTGAAATAAAAGCTGTGTCATAAAATTATCCCAATACTACTGTCATAAAAATACAAGGAACAATCGAGTTAATTATTATATATTTTGATAAACTGAACCGTCTTAATTAAAAAAAAAACAAAAAAAACAAGGGATGATAAGGATATTTTAACAAAATCAAATTATAAGCAAATTCGTTAATTTAATGTTATAAATGGTTTGTTAATGTTTATAAATTTTAAAATTTCTAATTACAATATGTAAAAGCTATTTAACTTGAAACTTGAAATTTTGGAATTATGTGATATACATATATATGTATATGTAATATGTACATTATGAACAGAGATATTAATTCATAATTTTAAGTTATAACCAATTTGCATTTATATTTTCTATATTGCAATTACTATAAAATAATATAGTTACGTTTCATAAATAAAAAAATCATTAAAAATGATAGAGTGATTTTAATATTTAAATACATAACTAATTTATCGTTACAATCCGTCATTTATTTGATAAACATATGTTTCGTATTAGACTATTAACAATAATGTTTATTGTTATGTTTTAGACTGTAGTAATAATGTAAATATAAATATTTGAAATATTTAAACTATACATCACAATAATTATTTAATTAATTATTTATTTATTTATTTATTTATTTATTTATTATTTATAAATTTAATCAATTAACGACAATGTGTATCGTTAATGTTTCTATATCACATTCGTACTTTACATTGTACTCTGTTCAGTACACATAGGGAAGAAGTATAAACTATTTTATTTATTAATGTAAAATTTTGGAAATTTACATTTATATTCTTTTTTACAAATAGTATTTGAAATTTACCGTGATAATTAGAGAGAGAAAAAAAAAAAAAAAAAAAAAAAAAAAAAAAAAAAAAAAAAAAAAAAAGAAGAATGTGATTAATCATTATTCGGAGTAAGGTCAATAGTATATCGTAAGTCTCAATCTCTTGAATTACAACCGAGTGAAAGATTATAATGGAAAAAATATGAAATATTACAATAAAACATATAACAAAAGATTTATCACGATAAATCTAAGAAATAATATTAATTAATTTAGTATATAAAAGTACTGTAGAGTACAATAACGCAGTAAAATTTTATCTACTTTTTTTCGAATTCACATCGATTAATCAAATTTGTATCATATACTCATATCATATTGGAATCATATTGTACGATTAATTAAATATTGAACTTCGTTATTACAGTTGATTTTAACGAATAATCTAATGCATAATTGATATTATATAGAGAAGCCTTTAGAAAACCATGAATATTATCCAAGGATAAGACGAAGAAAAAACATTGTTAACAATTCAAGAAATAATGAAGACGATTAAAAAATACCTCGAGAAAAATAAAACCAATAATAAAATAAATAATAAAATAAAACAATTTATTGTACAACGATATTATTAAAATGTATAATTAATGTTAGTAGTAATGTCTTAAAATCTCAAGTTCCTCAAACCACCAAGTGAAGTCGAAGGAACAACGCATAAATGTATAACATACTGTACGCCTTAAATGAAGCGAACTTGAAGCTTTAATCGGCGGTACTCCTAAAGTTATTAAAATTTCCATTGAAATTAATCCATGAAAATTGCCAATCCAAGGTTGATTCATTGAGATATCGTTAGGTGTCGCCGGTGTTCCCACTACCTCGGCATTTCCTATTGAGTCTCATATCGTAAAAATTGCAACGTCGCATAATCGCGGATCTCTTTCATTGTTTAAGAAGAAGCGAAGGGAAGATGTTGGAGCTGCCGTTATTATCAACCATTTTATCATTAATTTAAATTTTTTTAAATTCAGTTATCAACGTTTTGCAAATAATTCAACTTATTCGAGTCTAAAAAATCGTTTTATCCGGAAATTTACTGTCCCCGGAGGCAGAAAAGATAAAGATTTTCGGGCGGCGAGGGATGAAGGTAATAATGATTTTTATTAGGTTATGAATTAATAAGAGTTTTCCTAATCCGCGAGCATCGCCTTTTACTAAAGCTGCACGAGTGAATTATTTTGTGTTTAATTATTTTTCTCTATGCGTTGTCATTAATTGTCGTATTATTTTTTTCATTGGGATAAAATGTTTATGGTTATTCGTTGGATTATATGTACACGTGTCGATTTTTTAATATGATGATTACTTTACCGATTCCTATGAATGTTAATGATTATTTCTTAACATGCACTACCAACTGAGCTTATGAAATATTATCCAATTAATATTTGACATTAATTCTTGTGATTCTAATGTAGTGTTTTATTTCTATTACAGGCACGTGGAAGTGGAAAGAGGTGAGACTGTGAAGCGTATAATAATAGTAGAATAATCATTAAATGTCATTTGTAAAATTTGAATTTTGAATAATAAAGCGTTTTTGAGATTGTATATACAACATTGATAAAAATAAAAGACTTTAAAATAACCTTTATATTTTTTTATTGCAGTGAAATTACCTTCTTCAAATGATTGGCCTTATCGTTAATATGTAGTACAGATAAGACTTTTCAAGTAAAAGTTTCGATTTTAATGTTTGCGTATAATACGTACTTACAAAGCCAATTAATAAAAGGCTTAGATGGAGATTATTCCTTGTTAGAAACAAAAAAAAAAAAAAATAATAAATAAATAAAATAAATTAATAATAAATAAGTAAAGTAAAATAATTTATTACAATGAGTACTATTTTAGAGAGAATAGCAGCTATCGAAGCTGAAATGGCCAGAACACAGAAGAATAAGGCAACTTCTGGCCATTTAGGTTTATTGAAAGCAAAACTCGCTAAATTAAGACGAGAATTGATTACTCCAAAAGGAGGTGGTAGTAGTGGCGAGCAAGGCTTTGAAGTTGCAAAAACTGGCGATGCTCGCATTGGATTTGTGGGCTTTCCATCGGTTGGAAAGTCCACGCTGCTGAGTACGTTAGCTGGTGTATATTCGGAAGTGGCTGCGTACGAATTCACTACCCTCACAACCGTTCCTGGATGCATTAAATACAAAGGCGCTAAAATTCAGCTTTTGGATCTTCCTGGTATTATAGAAGGTGCAAAGGATGGTAAAGGTCGTGGAAGACAAGTAATAGCCGTCGCCAGAACTTGTAGTTTAATTTTCATTGTTCTTGATGTTTTGAAGCCACTAGGGCACAAGCGATTGATAGAGCACGAATTAGAAGGATTTGGCTTAAGATTGAATAAACAACCGCCAAATATTAATTTTAGAAAGAAAGACAAAGGTGGTATTAATTTACAAACAACGTGTGTACAGTCTGAACTTGATCTAGAAACTGTTAGAACTATTTTATCAGAGTATAAAATACACAATGCTGATATTACCCTCAGATACGACGCAACTTCGGATGATTTGATAGATGTTATTGAAAGCAATAGAATCTATATACCATGTATTTATTTGTTAAATAAGATTGATCAAATAAGCATAGAAGAATTGGACGTTATATATAGAATACCTCACTGCGTGCCGATATCTGCGCATCACAAATGGAATTTTGACGATCTACTGGAGAAAATGTGGGAGTACTTGCAGCTCATTAGAATCTACACAAAACCGAAGGGCCAGCTTCCGGATTATAATTCGCCCGTTGTTTTAAACACGGAGAAGCGAACGGTCGAAGACTTTTGTAACAAGCTTCATCGAACTATTGCAAAAGAATTCAAGTACGCACTCGTGTGGGGTTCATCGGTCAAACATATGCCACAAAAAGTTGGAAAAGATCACGTTCTAAACGACGAGGATGTCGTCCAGATTGTGAAAAAAGTATAATTGCTACTTTACGCAAATAACTGTTGGACAAAAAAGTGATGTGGTAAATTTTTGTGAATATAAAATAGCTTTACTTAATATAAATTTATTCAGCTTTGATTCATTTGTACTTTCTTATACATAAAATACTAAACTGTAAACATTTACACTTGCATATGCATGTATATATATGTATATATACGTGTGTGTGTGTGTGTGTGTGTGTGCATGAATATGAATGCGTCTATGCATAATCATGCATGCATGCATGCATGGGAGTGCATATATATTTATATATGAACAAAATTCTATAAATTTATCTTATAAATTTCTCGTAAGCCATCTTTCTATCATTCAATTATAAATAATGCCGTGGACAATGGAAAGACTGTTATATATGTGTAATTTACAATCTGTTATATAATTTAGAAAATTATAATCTATCGCCTTACGGTAAAAAAAACTTAAACATATCTGGAGTGACTTGCGCGCGAATATGATGGATTCTTGCACACTGCTGAATTTCAGTGAGGTGAGGAATTATTTATTCCTTGTCATTCTTTGTCACTCAAGTGAAATCTGTTGTGCCATTGTCGCGATCTTCATAAAAATAATTACGCGCTCCGTTTTTGTCGTCGATTAATTAATTGATTGCGCTGCTACCCTTCGCACAACAGGATTGGGTCGGAGCCGAATTCTCCAGCCGACATTCATAACATTATTAATCCTCGAACCTTAGAAGCATGTTTTATGAGAAATTTAATGATTTACTAATGGAAATAAATTGAAGGAGTTTTTTTTTTTAAGGATAGTCGGTGCAATGAAATTGTCTCAAGGTGTGTTAAGGCACGATTATTACGCGAATATTAGTTAGTATGATATCATTTGGAAAGAGAACTTACAAAAATTGCTGAATGTTGTAAATAATAAAGATAGCTTAAAACAAATTTTTTTTTTCGACTTAATTTTATTTGTCTTCATTTACATATAAGGTACTTAGGTATAAGGTTTTATACAAAACAGCAGATAATAGCAGTATTTTCTTCAAATATTAATTACGTATTTTACTACAGAGGAAGTAACTGTATAAGTGCAGAAAGTATAATAACAAATTTGAATTTATTGTAATAAGAGAACACTAACATTGTTTCAAATAATAAATACATACAATAAAGTATCTTAGATATAAAAACCTTGGATATCAATGTTGACAATAATAATAATAATAATAATATATATATATATATTAAAGTGTATTCTTTAACAAATATAATTGGTTAAATTTAAATAAAAACGTCATCATTGAGATTCAAGCTTTATTGTCTTTTTTTGTAAATATCGTTATAAATAAAACAAAAACTATTTTTTGTAAAGTAAATTACAAAATATAAACTTGATTTATGAAACTATATGTAAATGTATCTGTATACAAAGTAATATTTACAAATATATTTGTGTTACAATTAACTTTTATACTAAGTTCTGCATTTTAACACATCACTGGGTAGTTGATGTACAATTTTTCAGTAAACTTATCACAATAAAAAAAATATACTTGTTTCATTGTTTGCCCTTCTTCTTTTTCTTCTTTTTTTATTTTTTTTTCTTTTCTTTTTCGTTTTCGTTTTTTTTTTTTCCATAACGCCAGTTATTTCTTATGTGGTATGTTTCTGTAAAAATAATAGGAGTGAATTTGTACAATACTGCTTCTGTATTAAATTGAAAATAATAAACTGCATGATACGTCATGGTGAAAACTGATTCTCATAATATATTTCTCTGAATCCAATAATGCCGCTGAGTATTTCATGTTCATTAATCTAAATTCTTTAAAATTTAATTTTTTCGCTAAAATTACGTGCGTCAGATTTCGAGTTTATACACATGATTTTTAATAGATAAATTAAAAGAAATTTTGAAATTGCACACATTTCTGTTCCGCTGCCAAAATGCACAGGTTTTCATTATTTTAAACAAAAGCGATACATCTTTATAAATATACATATAAAGTTCGTTTTGGTACACATATCCAATTCGGTAACATCAACTATACTTTCAATAACAAATAATTTTTTTATTAAGCTTCGAAACATTATTCAAGTATCAAGTCAACGATCTAAAAATTAACTCTATCGAATCTTAAGTATATCGAGTTGTTTTTTGATAATAAAAATTGAACAAATCATAAATGCTTGAGCAAATAAATTTAATGCATAAAATAAATAAATAAATAACATTTTGTTGAAATGTAATTTAAGATCTCGGGACGCGTGATACTTGGTAATGTCACATAAGCAGTAACTCTTAAACAAATTAAAAAAAAAAACATAATCAGGCATTATACTTTTTACTATTAATACAAAATATTCCCTAATCTCCCTCGTGCGCAACATGCGTTGTGCACACAAATTATAGATAATAAAATATATTGTCTTCGAATCACGATTTTCATAATAAATGTTACAGTGTACAAAAGATGGAAGAGCAATCTCGTACGTGAACTTTTTTCCTTATTTTCTTCTTCTTCTTCTGTTTTTTTTTTTCTTCTTTTTTTGCTAAAAGTCTAATTTTGATAATGATCAATCGCAGTGCACTGGCCCTGCGTATCGACGAAGCTAACAGAAATAACCGATTAACGGTTTATTCGGTCTTCACAGTAATTAATAATCGTAACAGCTCCATAACACTTTAAAAGCGTTCATTTCCTTCACAATTGCATGATAAATATTTGGACAGAGATTCATGATATTTAAACAACTTTAAATGGCTAAACATTCGCTTAAGTATTATTACATGTAGCACAATTTCTAACTAACGTTATCGCTGTATATAAATTCATTTGTTGAAAAATGTTTCTTCTGTTGTGGTGAAACTTGCCAACAGCCCTCGCAATAATTCCTAACACGGGCGTTTAAAAACTTTGCTCGGTTTTGATTAATAATTTAAATACAAAAATTATTCAATAATTTAAAAACGAAAAAAATTTTTTTTCTTTTTTTTTTTTCTTTTCTTTTTTTTTTAATGTCAATTGCGTAATTTTATTTGCTTCACATCCGATCATTAGCATACTATCATAGAAACATCGTAGAAACATCATAAAAAAAAAAGAAAATGTTCAATATCCATCATATATATATACACATGCATACGCGCATATATAGGAATATATACGCGGATATGTATGCATAAATATAGAATACAATGTCGTAAATCTTTTTTTTTTTTTCTCAACAATGACTATTTAACTATCAGTACTTATGAGTACCTCGAATAATTAAATTACAGTACACGCAGCCAGATCGTCTATCCAAGAAAAGAAAAGAAGAGAGAAGCGATTTAAAAAGGACGGGAAAGAAAAGTGAGAGTAAGGAAGGTAAGGTAGGAAAGAAAGATATTTCTCTCTCTCTCTCTCTCTCTCTCTCTCTCTCTCTCTCTCTCCCTCTCCCTCTCTCTCTCTCTCCCTCCCTCCCTCTTTCTCACTCTTTCTCACTCTTTACGTGTATGTGTGTTTTTGTGTTTTGTGTGCGCGTGTGTTTATGCTTGCACGCGTGTATGAGATGGAATGAGGGTTTGGGGCGGCGGTAGGGCGGGGGAGAGGGGGGAGGAACAACTTGGTGGTCATTCGAGTCCAACCGCGTAAGAATTATTTGGTCCTTTTACACTATTATAGCACTTAAATCATTAGGAAAGTAAATAATGCCTCTTTTTGGTACCAGTAAAGTAGGCTACTTTAAATCGGTATCATAACTTCATCTCCCAGAGTACGATGTGGGCGTCGTTGCTGTTGGGATCCTTAAAGGCATAGCCTGACTTTTGATTCTTGTCCTCCTTCTGGGCGCCAACCTGCCGCCAATTGACGTAACCCCGACCACCCATGAGGGTGAGTACGGTGCGCCTCGGCTGATCCAGCTGGGACGACTTGGGTCCGCCGGACTTCTTGCCCTGGGACTTTTGCTTGGCTAGGGTTCGACATTCCTGCACGGGGGTCGAGGTCCCGCCGAGGCCAGCCGCGATCGTCAGATGTTGCTGTTGTTGATGCTGATGCTGATGCTGCTGCTGTTGTTGTTGTTGTTGTTGTTGCTGTTGTTGTTGTTGTTGTTGTTGCTGTTGTTGTTGTTGTTGTTGTTGCTGTTGTTGTTGTTGTTGTTGTTGCTGTTGTTGTTGCGCGAGAGCTTGCCAGCCTTGAGCGAGAGGTTCTCCTCGGAACCCGAGGACGTGTAGAGGGAGCTCGCGTGCGAGTCGACCGACCAGTTGGAAAGGTCGAGCGATCTCGGCCTCGTTATCTTCATCTTCAGCCTGCGGTCGAGGGTGCTGACTTTGTTCGGTATCGCGAGCTCGGGGTCGCTGCGTCTCAAGGTCTCGTACACCGGATCGATCACGGCGCCGCTCTCGTTCTCATAGTCCTTCACGTACATGAGCTCGCCGTACAGCCCGTAGACGTCGCAGTTCTCCCCGGAGCTCTGCGAGCTGGACATTGAGTTGGAGAGGAAGCCCCCACCGCAGCCTGATCAGCCCACGTCCAAACACACAGAAACAAAGAGAGAGAGAGAGAGAGAGAGAGAGAGAGAGAGAGAGAGCGCACAAAGGTGCATACATGATCGATTAGTTAAGAATTCGTAAGATTGATTAGTCGTCGTCGACGCAGATTCGTCATGCCCTTGGGAAATCTCGATCGCGGTTCGCTGAGAACCGCGCCGAGACCGAGGGAAAGACGAGGCAACGTCCAGGACGAGACACGGATACCGAGGAGCTTACCCAATCCGCGAGGCAACGTCTTCGAGCCCCTGTATTCGTTCTCTTTACTGCGCTTGCGCCTCAGAAGGACGGGGCTGCTGGCGAGCTGCTGCTTGAACTTGAGAACATTGGCCGACACATTGGAGGAGATGGAGACGTCGAGGCTGGCCCGGTCGGATCTCTGCCTCTGGCTGTGACCGACGTGCTCGAGGTCCTTGCCGCCCCTGAGCTGCGCCTGCTCCTCCTCCGGCTCCTCCTCGTCCTTCGCGCAGCCCACGTTGCTCTTGCTGTTCTGCACGGCGAGGAGGAAGGTGATGGGACCGAAGTGCGCGTGGTACGAGATGTTAACCCGGCCGCTGATAATGGGCACGCCCTCGAGTCGCGGTAGGGGGATCGTCAGGCTAATGCCGACATTCGTGCCGACCCAGAGGAGACCCTTGCAGGCCATCAGCGCCGTGACTGTCACCGAGGCCTGGTTGTTGTTCAAGCTATCACCACTGCCGATCCCGACGCCGAGCCCAGGTCCGCTACAGCCCCCGGACTTGGTGATTCGCAGGACGTTCGAGGCGATGTTGATATCTTGGAGGTGCTTGAACGTTTCCGTGTGGTAGAGGCAGACGGTGCTCGAGTTCTTGAGGGCCACCCAGAGACCGACTCCCGAGTGGGCCATGAGTTTTACGTTGCCGACGTGCTCGTGCTGAGCACTGAAGCTCTTGGCGTTCTCGCCGGTCATGGCGTTCAGCACCCAGACTTTCTTGCCACAGGCCGCGTACACCGAGGAATTGATGGGCATGAGGCAGGAGACCGGATCCGCACCTATACAGGGCCACATAACACACACGTTAACCTCTCGTTTATTCGTCCCTCGGGTTTCCTGCTGCACCTCTAATTCGTAGCCGCCTCTCGGTATCCGCGACCGCCACTCCAGACGACAAAGTTAGCGTTCAGCCTACTCACCTCCTCTGCTGAACTTACACGTTTTGCTCTCGTGGCGTATCGAGCCGAGCGGCTACATTAAATATACAAATCGTTCGTTTATTAATTTACCTAGTGCAATGACGTTGGGCTCCTTGAGGTTCCAGGCGCCGTCGTAGAGCCTCTTGAACATGAGAAGCGAGCCCGTGCCCAGCGCTACGAAGACGTTGTCGTAGTGATACTTTATCTGTATGACGGGCCCGGAGACCGGGTAGCTGCCGAGCTCCTCCTGCTTCTCCGGCTCCGAGGCTGTGTAGATGATGAGTTTCCGCGAGTCCGTTCCCATCCAGACGAGGTCGCTCGACAGGCTTGGCTGCTCGTTATTCAGCCCCTTGACGAACTCTACGGCTGCGACGCGCGTCTCCACGAGGTCGAACGACGTGATCTGCTTGAGGGAGGTGGCCGTGGCGGTCGTCGACTGGCCGAACACGGTCACGTGGGTCGATACCCCGTCGTCCGTGCAGATCCACAGGTAGCTCTGGTGCCTGCCCCGTCGCCTCGTCGGCCGGGGATTTTGCGTGACGTAGTAGCAGCCGCAACGTACCTGGTTGACGCAACGTTTGTGTGAGAAGCAGCGCCGAGCGTTAAAATACCGCGAGCCTCGTGACCTTTTTCACATCGATTTTTCAATGTCGCGCCTCAGCCGTGCTTCGACCTTTCATTTGCATTGTCCGTTTAAAATCATTAGGCTGGTACATTTTTCTTTTCTTTTCTTTTCTTTTTTTTTTTTCTTTTTTTTTTTTTTTTGCTTTTTTGTTTTTGTTTTTGCTTTTTTTTTTTGTTTTGTTTTTGTATCTATTTACATCTCTGTTTTGTCATTAAAGCAACAAACCGCGTATCCGTTAATCGTACTTGGCTTTTAATCGTCGTTCTCGTTGTGTATTACGTATTGGCAAGGGCAGACCGCGAGCCCGTTAACATTAAGCGAACGACGGTAGGTTGTCAAGTTGGCTGGCTTACTTCTGATTGGTGTTGCGAATGATAAACTGGTTGGGATGTAACGAACAGGGGCATTTTCGTGGACGGTCTTTGTTCCTGCTCCGGTACTTCCCAAGATGGCGAATTGTTGGGGTCCAGCGCCAATTGCGCGAGTCTTAATTCCGTAATCCAGTCTTTCTTGACGAGCGGATTTTCCGTCTGGAACGTATACATTTGTCCTTGTTTTGTCATTAGCTGTAGGCAGCAGCTGTCGGCCCAAACCATTTCCTCGTCCTTGGCCTGTATAGACGATTGAATTCCATGCAAAATTTGCTTCACCGTCTCCGTCGTCATCCCCTTAAAATTCAATAACATTAACGTTCATTAGCGTTACATATCCGAGACGACAGGCCTATGGAGTGGGAGGTGGAGTAGGACTGAGCGAGTAGGAAAATACGATTCTTTCGTTCATCGTAAGCATCGGAGCTTTCGCCTAGGAGAGAAAGTGAGCAGGTTGTGAAGATAAAGGAAGAAGGAAACTCAAGGTCGTTATTAATTCTGCAATGATAAATGCAATTGGACTCGTGCCGATTTATTATGGATAATTCCGAGCACTTTTCCATTAGGATAATTGCCATGAAAACTCGTAGGATCCCTTCGGCTCCCTACCTCGTACGATCCCTTCAGTTGAGCAACCAAGTCGCTAATCCTCGACATCGCCTCGTAATCGTGCATTAGATCGTTCATTTCCGCGCAAAGACTGTCGGCTCCGGCTTGGCCACCCTCGCCACTTCTGTCGGACTTCAAACTGCCTCCTTTGTTCAGGCCTGCGGTCAGTAGTCGACTAAGCGTCGGAGACGTGCTCGTGTCTTGTATCTGAAAATACATTTCGAGCGATAAGAGCTTCCGCCTGGGCAATTGGGGTCATTTAGGGGGTTCGCGATCGGAGTGCGAATCTCACCTCTATATCCGATACCGGATACGTCCACTTTAGTGTCAGTCTCTCGCTGCCAGAGAAGTCCTCGGCCGACCTCGGTGCTACCGAAACGCACACGACGAGATCGTTCAAGAGCAGCAGTCTTCGCCTTTTCGATTTTGTGATCATTCCGTTTTGATTGAACTCCTGTTGATGGTCGGCGAGCGAGAGAAATATATACAAAGATTACGTTAAATTCTGCTTCAGCGGCGTTGGCTAATGCCAAAGTAATGGAGAAAAAAAAAATGATCGGACGGCTACGTGAGGTTCTAGATTAAGTTGGGGAGAGGGTTAGGTAGGTGCAACCGCCAGCGGGAGCTCAAGGACGTTTTCAAATTGCCGCGATGCTCTCGACAACTCGACTCACCAGTTGCGTGACATTGTCCTCTCTTATGAGATATCTCGAGGACGAGGAAAGCGGTCGATGTGAGAGTTTGCCGGAAACGTGACGTAACATTTCCTTGAACGCTTGGAATTGCTCGGCCTCCCTCTTCCTCTCGTTCAGCATTTCCGCCAAGCTTTCCATCTGCGTGAGTGCCAGTTGAAGCGACATTCTGTCATGGTGTCCGTGTGGAGTATGTTTCAGTAGATCCTGCGGAGCGTGAAAGGCGCGTCAAAATGGAACGACTGACGGGTTAGGCTGGGCTTACCGTGTAAGAGTACAACACTCACTTGCAAAAACAAGATGAACTGTGGGAACCTTTGAACCGGCTTAACCATCAAACCAAAGAAAGACAATCTGTCATGGGCGCTAATCTGTTTGACCTGGGGACAAGAGGCACGAAACGATGACGTTCAACACTCGCTTAACCCAGATAAAGAAAGTGCGTGAGAGAGGGAGAGAGAGAGAGAGAGAGAGAGAGAGAGAGAGAGAGAGAGGGAGTATATGTAAGAAAAGCAAGTTTTTTCACGTGACGCGAGCGTCCAATATTCCTGACCAATTAAATACCCAGGATTTGCAGTGCGTACCTTGAAGAAGTCTGCAAGGGCAGTCTTTCGCTTGGATTCTTGCTTAGCAAGGTCCATCGCTACCGAGAAGTTGTTGATGAAGCCGCTGTAGATGTCGAGGACGATGGCCTTGCTGAAGCTCGCGACAAACACGTCGCCGAGCTTCTCGTCCTTGTCCCACGAGCGCACACACTCCGCGAGGGCGATGCGGAATAGCGTGTGGCACTGCAAGATCTCCGGGAGCCGGTGGAAGAGGGTCGCTATCTTCGACTGGCTGAGGACGGGTGGCGAGGACTCCTCCAGGGGCTTCTTGTAGTCCTGTGGATTTTGACGAATTCTCGTTACAATCGTCGGCTTGGCCTTGCCATCGCAACTTCTCGCGCTTCTTCCGCTTTATCGAGAATCGAATTTCGACTTTAAGGGCCGATTTTGGCATTCCGAACATATTGGCGATGCGATTGATCCGCGACGATATGATAATGCAGCATCAAGGAATTACGATGGGACGATGTTGCGCATGCGAAATGAGAATGCAACGGCGGCAGTGATTGAGTCATTGTGCCGTTGGGCAACTACGTTTTCGCCAATTCAAGTCCAAGTCGATCGGCTGGAATAATTGATACTGAAGATTTTAATTATTATTACTCCAGGTTCTCGGATTACTTGCGTATTAATTATTCGCGGTTCTAAATCGTGCGGTTAAAGCTGTCACAAGAGTCACCACGTATGCGTGAACAAAGGCGCAGCGCAAATAACGAGATGAGCTCTTGATAAATCGAGTACGTTCGAACATTCGTTTGTTTATTAATTTTTTATGCTCCCGAGTCACTTCTCTTCCCAATGCCAAATAACACGGCCGGCCAGCAATTAATCATAGATAGCCGATCTTGTCCATCTAAGCATAAATATTTATGCAATCGCGCAAACAGCTTAATAAATCTCGATAAACTAAAACGGTTCGTAATAAATCGCGACGCAAATTTGCCGAATTGAATAAACGCTTTGTGCGACGTATAAATATTGCATTCGATATCGTATAATTCGTGCGTTTAATATTTTTTATCGAAGATACGTCACGTTTATAATTTATCCACATCTGCGCGCGTCTAATCGTTCGAAGAAAGAGATGGCTACCGCGTGAAAATAATGCCAAAGTTAATGCGCGCGTCGATATTACGTAATCTAAAACTGTTAATGAATGTCATGCGAAATTTGCGAAGAAAAGAGATTTTGGTCGAGATTTTAGTCGAGATTTTGGTCGAGATTTTGGTTATCGATATGCTGGACGAACAGAAATCGCTTAACCGGCACCTTCAGTTTACAAGCTTTTGCTACGATTAGAGTAGCGTAATTAATGTTTCACCATCGTCATTGTCGCCGTTGTCATCATCATCATCATCATCATCATCATCGTCGTCGTCGTCGTCGTCGTCGTCGCAACGACTATTACTATTATCGTCGATAAAAAAGAAACCGCTGGGAAGAAAATGTGCGTTCGCCAAGACCTTCGTTTCCGGCAATCGATTAACAAGTGACTCGAAAGGGCAATTCAAGGCCGATACAGCCGACAGCTGCTTCGATTACAGTCGACTCTCCGACGAGGAGTGAGACACCGAGGACAAAGCGCGGCTGGTACCGAAGTGTCGCTCGGCAAACACTGGACGATCGAGTCCTTACACCCTCGTTCGTTATAAGGCATTGGCGTCTCGGTAGTAGCTGCCTGGAGCCATGAAAATCTACGAGAGATCATCCATCCCCCGCCGTCGGGGCAGGCATTCGCGGGTGGTCGTCGTCGTCGTAGCTAAACTGGCTAAAGAATGCCGAAGATGGAAGAGTAGAAAGACGTACGTTGACGAGCCTCTGGAGCGTAGCGACGTAGCTGTTCTCCGAGTGCACTATGGCTGCGACGATGTGGCGCCGCTTCAGCTGCTGGGCGCTGAGGTTCGGCGGTGCGGGCGGCAAGGAGGGGGGCGCTTGCCTCCGCTGCTGCACGCACTGGAACTGCGTGATGGGTCCGCTCTCCTCCTCGACCTACCAATCAGTACACCTCGACTTTAGAGAAGTCATCCTCGTCGGCTGCGAGATCCGCGGACTCCCGGCCCTTCGTTCCCTCCCATCCCACCCGACCCGCCAGATCCAATCGTAACCTCGATGTTCCTACTCCTTCGTTTAAAAACGTTACCTCCCCCCCCCCCCCCCCCCCCCCCCCCCCCCCCCTCCCTCCCTCCCCCTTTCACAAACGCTCAGCGATCTTTTACTTTTTCCACGATCTTATCACTCACGACAAAACTCCCGGGAGTGATCACCCGAGTCATTATCAGCACGTTCTATTGGTTCAATATGATCCAAGTCGTACACATACACCGACGTCTGACCCCGGAAAGTAACTTCGATACTCGATTGTAAAAAAGTTTCGCCATCATACGTAGCAACGACGCGCTCGCGTTTTAATTTCACTTGCTCGAGCCAATATTATGTCGTCGTCTTTATCGTGCAACGATTTAAGGAACCATTTGGGTGTGTACAAGAGCGCCCGTGCGCGTGTGTCTTCGGTCTTATGTACGGGTAAAACGTCGTCAGGACGTCATGCACCGCAGCATCTTTGCTCGTTGGGTCTTGCCGTCCACGAAATGATCGAACGAGTATGGAAAACACCAAGCGAGAATTTCCTTAAATTAAGGAATATCTCGTGATGCGTCGTCTTCACCCGCCCCTCCCGACCGCCCCACCCCAAACCACTTTTCACGTATTGCCTTCGCATACCGAAAAAACCGTCTTGATCTTCCGCTCA